TACTACTTCTACTACTACTACTACTACTACTACTACTACTACTACTACGGCTACGACTACTACTACTACTACTACTACTACTACTACGGCTACGACTACGACGACTACTACTACTACTGCAACTACTACTACAACAACAACTACTACTACTACTACTACTACTACTGATACTACTATGATTACTACTACTGACTACGCTACTACTACACTACGACTACTACTACGACTACTACTACGACTACTACTACTACTACTACTACTACTACTACTACTACGACTACTACTACTACTACTACTACTACTACTACTACAACTACTACTACTACTTCTACTTCTACTACTACTACTACTACTACGACTACTACTACTGCTGCTACTACTGTAAATACGACTGCTACCACTACTACTACTACTACTACTACTATTATTATTATTATTACTACTACTACCGCTGCTACTACTACTAAGACGACCACACATACTAGCACTAGTAGTAGTAGTAGTACTACTACTACTACTACTACTACTACTACTACTACGACTACGACTACGACTACGACTACGACGGCTACTACTACCACTACTACAACTACTACTACAACAACTACTACTACTACTACTACTACTACTACTACTACTGCGGCTACTACTAATATTACTACTACTACGAGTGCTACACATATTCCATCTGCTACTTCTACGTTTGCTACTACGACTACGACTACTACTACTACTACTACTACTACTACTACTACTACTACTACTTCTACTACGACTACTACTGCTACCACTACTGCTGCTGCCGCGACTCCTACTCCTGCTACTTTAACTACGACTTCTCCTTCTACGTACTAAGGCTACTACGACTACCACTGTTCTACCACTACGACGGCGACGATAACTACTATTACTACTATGGCGACTCCTACTACCTTTACGATTACTAGCACTGCCACTGCTGCTAGTGCTACGACTGGTACGCTGAATTCTACGACGACGACAACGATTACGCCTACTACACTACTGCTACTACGACTACATTTTACACCAACACTACTACTACTAGTACTACTACTACTACTACTACTACTACTACTACTACCACCAGTACTACGACGACTACAACTACGAGTGCAACGACGACTACTCCCACTACTACTACTACTACTACTACTATTACTACTACGACTAGAACTACTACTGCTACTACTACTACTACTACTACTACTACTACTGCTACTACTACTACGACTACTACTACAACAACTACTACAGCTGCAACGGCTACGGCGACAACGACTAAGTCTGTACCACCTCTACTACTACCACTACTACCACAACAACTACTACTGCTACTACCTACCTGTCTACCTACCTACCTTCCAACCCACCTACCTACCTACTGCTACTAAGACTCCTACTACTACTGCTACTACGACGACTACGACTACTACTACGACTACTACTACTACTACTACTACTACTACTACTACTACTACTACTACGACTACTACGATTGCTGCTACTACTAACTCTAATAATAACACTACTACTACTACTACTACTACTACTACTACGACTACTACTACTACTACTACTACTACTACTACTACTACTGCTACTACTACTACAACAACAACTACTACTACTACTACTACTACTACTACTACTAATACGATTACTTCTACTAGTACTTCTACTGCTACTACTAATACTACTAATACTACTACTGCTGCTTCTACTACTCCTACTACAACTAGTATTGCTACGACGTCGCCTTCTACGTAATACTGCAACGACTACCACTACTGAAAATACTACACGCGAACTACTGGCGACTACTACGACTAATACTACGGCTACTACTACGCTGCTAACTACTACTACTACTACGACTACTACTACTACTACTACTACTACTACTACGACTACGACGACTACTACGACTACTACGACTACTACGACTACGACTACCACTACTACTACTACTACTACTACTACTACTTCTACTTCTACTACTACTACTACTACTACTACTACTACCACGACTGCGACTACAACTACGACGACGACGATGACTACTACTACTACTACTACTACTACTACTACTACTACGACTACTACTACGACTACTACAACTACTACGACTACGACCACGACTACGACCACGACTACCACCTAATACTACTACGACTACCACTACTACTACTACTACTACTACTACTACTACTACTACTACTACTACTACTACTACTACTACTACGACTACTACGACTACTATTACTACTACCGCTACTGCTGCTGCTACTACCATGTCTATTTCTACTACGAGGACGATAACGACGACAGCGACGACGACGACTGCTATCACCACAGCTACTACTACTGCTACTACTACTACTACTACTACTACTACTACTACTACTACTACTATTACCACTACTACTACTACTACTACTACTACTACTACTACCACTACTACTACTTCTACTACTACTGC